TATGCTTCCCACGGTGCTTTCCCATCATATTCCTGTGGCTTCCTTCGCACTGGATCACTCCTATTACTAACATTCATATCTGGGCTGAAGATGTCTGCATTAGGGTTTAGCTGCAAAGTCTGGAAGGGGCTTGTCATTATCTGGGGCTGGTTAAGTCGATGGTTAATGTATCCTCCTTGTGTAAAAGACAATAAATCATCCTTTAACGTATCTAATTCGCTTTTAAATTTACTAATGTTTTCCGTTTTGTACTTCTTGCCACTGTTGTTGACTTTCCTGTAGTTGCTGCTGACTTTCTTCCTGTTTCTTTTCTTGTTCCAGTTGCCACTGCTGTAATTTTTCTTCTTGTTTCTTTTCTTTTTCCTCCAACAACTGCTGTAATCTCTCTTGTTTATTTTGCTGTTCGAGCTGCCACTGTTGCAGGTTTTCTTGCAACTGCTGTTGTCTCTCTTCTTGTTTATTTTCTTTTTCCTTTAACAACTGTTGTAATTTTTCTTCTCGTTCTTCTTGTTTCTTTTCTTTTTCCTCTAACAACTGTTGTAATTTCTCTTCTCGTTCTTCTTGTTTCTTTTGCTGTTCTTGTATTGCTGCCATCAAATCTGCTAAGCTGTAGTTTGATTTTCCGCCTCTCATTTCCATCTTCTTCTTTTTTTTTATTTTCTATCCCACTTCTGATACGAATTTGTTACATCTCCGTTCGTTAGTTGATTTTCCGGAACTTCGTTCTGACGAAACTTTAGCAAGACAAGTCCTTACTTAATAAAACTGGTTTATTCTTTCCGAATACAACTTTACGATACACTTAATTTCAACAGTCGCGCTATAACAAACGTTATATCTCACGTGGCCAACAATATTTTGTTCACATACATTCAATTACTCATTACACTGTTGTTCCGTCAAGTTGTCAACGTCTTGTATGTACAAGACTAACACATATCTAGTAGTCTCCCAATAATTCATGAAGGTTCGAGAGAAGTGGCGTGATACTAGTCACGTGACCTCGCTGATGCAACAATACTATCTTTTGGGGGGAGAATATCTACTTGGCTAGTAACTGCATCTCCACGGGGCAATCTCTTAATATTGATATCACAGGCTGTGATGATAATAGCTGACTCTGCTTAAAAACTGCTAATCTTGGTGTGAGTTTTTATAACCTAACTTGTGTTTCCATATTACAAATCAAATCATAAAATATGTTTATCTTTTATCAATTAACATTAAAACTAAAAGATCCAGTTTTAAGTGATGCTTTCCACCAGAAATTTGTATCTTTATGTACTGAAATTAACATGAGTATCCATGCAAAATTTCTAAAATATCAAGGAAGCTGGATTAAATGGTTTAATGTGGCTGTAAAAAGAATTCCAAAACATTTTAAGAATCAGACACTGACAAGAAGCATCCTGAGATTTAAAAAAAAGTAATTTATTGTCTGTCATCAAAACAAAACTGAAAGTATTAGCTATTTTTACATTCACAGTTCAGAACATCTTATGTACTTTTGGTATATACATACACCATTAAGTTGACAAAATACTGATTGTTGTATTACAGCAAACACTTGGATAGTTAAATGATGACGTAAATAAAAGTTCTGGTTGAAAATAAGTAGTTAATGCACACTTTAAAATACAAA